TTTTTTTTTTTTTTTATACAATTGTTAATTAGTTTCTGTAGCCTGTGCTCCACCCAGAGCCCCTAGGATCCTTTTACAGTTTGTACACATACAACTCCAGGCTCCCTGGCGCTTTCACGTCCTAGAGCCAGCACCTGCAGCTCTGTGTCAGAAGCCTGCCCTGGGCTACTGGAAACCACTTTTTCTGCTAGCACCCAGGGTGGACGGCCCCTGAACCAGTGGCTGGCAAGTAAGAGAATATCAAAATTCTAATTCCTTTGCCTTCAATGGGCACCTCTGAAATGTGGTGTACACTGTCCCTAGAGCTCTCATGGAAAGGGGCCCAAGTCACCCTCTATGGGACTTTGCTAGGTGTCCACCCTTAATCAGCTTCCTGCCTTTCCCTGTCCCTCTTCCTCAATCCCTTACCAGATTTTCCTGAAAACACCTCCCCCTAAAAAGTCACTTTCATGTAAATCCTCATCTCAGGGTCTTCTCCAGAAGAACCCAGTCAAGGACAGTTGCCGAAAAAATCTGCACAATAATCCAGATTTCTGCTTCTCGTGATAGATCTGTAGATCTAGCAACCCTGTGCCGATTCTCACTTGGCAACAAGTGGCTAGAACTGAGTAGGGATGACCCGATCCAGACAGATGTATTCTCGTTTTCCTCAGTCTACCACACCCTTATTGCCTTCCAACTGGCCTTTTACCATTCACGTTCCCTGTCTGGTCCCTACAGGCTTCTGAGTTTGCAACCCCTACAACATAGTATAGTGGTTACCATTGCAGGCTCTGGAGTCCAGGTTCACCAATCGTTGATTCTGTGATCTTAATAAATCCCTCAATTTTTTTGTCTCTCGGTTTCCTCATGTAAAAAAATGGTACCTATATGGTAACCAATATGAGCTTTAGAGACTTAGTAGGGATCCTGCCTGTAAAGTGATTTGCACAGTATCTAGCATACGATATTCAAGAAATTACTAATATTTGTCCTCTTGGAGCAGGTGTGCCTGTTAAAATCCAACAGCCCACATCCAACTATCTGAGATTACCTCCTGGCCCTTCTTCTCCCTGGAGGAAGACACCCTTCCTCCAAGAGGTTTGGGTCTGAGCACTCACTTCTTCCCACTGGTGAATATATCGAATGAGGCGGGAGAGTCGCAGGAGGCGCAGGAGGCTGAGGATCTTGGTGAAGCGGACGATGCGCAGGGCCCGAGCTGTCTTGTAGACCTCCGAGTCGATGCGTGTCTCCACAATGAGGAAAATGTAGTCCACAGGGATGGAGGAGATGAAATCCACCACGAACCAGCTTTTGAGGTACTTCATCTTAATCCGCTGTGGGTCCAGGATGATTTCTGTATTGTCCTCTACCACAATCCCCGTGCGAAAGTTGAGAACCAAGTCGATGAGGAAGAAGGTGTCTGATACCACATTGAAGACGATCCAGGGTGTGGTATTCTCATCCTTGAAGAAAGTGATGCCCACAGGGATGATAATCAGGTTCCCCACCATCAGCAGCAGCATGGTCAGGTCCCAGTAGAATCTGTCAAGATATACAGGGGTCAGTAGTCAGAAAGAGAGAGAAAACAAGTCACAGACTGAGAGAGAAGCGCCAAGGGAGAGCAAGTGTGGGAGAGAGAAGTCTTTGGACACTGAGGGATGTTCTGTGACACGGTAGGAGGTAGGCCCACAGCAACCAAGGCAAAATGTAAACTATGGCAAAGAAAGAGGCTCTTCCTTCACTAAGGGTACCCTCTGCCTGCCCCTAATGACAAGCCTCCTATCCCCATCTCTATGCCCCAGTGAGAGTCAGGTTCAAAAGCAAAGCAAACAATGACATCTAGAGAGAAGTGAGAGGATGTTTTAGCAGCAGAAGCAGTTTACCCTGCACCACCCCAGGTTCAGGCCAGGCTGTTCCACCTTTCCCATAAGGCAGCTGTGGCCTGAGACAGGCTGGCAGCAGACATGCCACAGGCTGTGACTGGAGAGCAGGGGGGGTCCATATACACAGCAGGCAAGAGGCCCAGGCTCCAGCCCCAGCTTTGTCACTGATGCTGCGTGACATCAGGCAGGGGCCTTCCCCACTCAGGGTCTCAGTTTCTTACTACAATGAGAGATGGAGCCTCAACACTTTATGGGAGTACCCTTTAGCCTATCCCCTATAGTCAGAAAACGTCTGGTTATCTGTCTCCTCCAGAGGTTTGCATTCTAATATGGGATTGGGGAGGGACAGTGACATCTTCAAAGGCAGGAAGTGTTAATGGGGCGAATTCAAGTACCAGTGAGGTACCACTCAATGCAATGGAGTGAGACCAGCTGGGGCTTCTAGCATCATTTCCCCTAAGCCCTCAAAGCAACTGCAAGTGCTTCCTCAGGGAGGTAAGAGAGGGACCCTCAGGATGAAGCCTCTGAGAGGTTAAGCGATGTGAGGATGTAAAAGCTAACTCTCAGGTCTCCCACCTGGCCTGGCAGGGGCCCCTCTGGAGTGTGCAGACAGCACAGGCAGGCACAGGCCCCACATCTAGGAGGTATGACCAATCATTCCTGGGACCCAGCCCAAGTACCAGCCACCGCAGGGCTGGCTGCAAGACCAAAAACTCGAACCACAGAGCTATTTCTCTCTGTTATCAATTTAGACAGTTACACAATGACAGGTAAAGGTATTAATCTTTATTAATTAAAAAGAAATAAGGGCAGAAATAAGCATGTCTTTTCCCCAAAGATGTAACCTTTCAGCCATCTTTAATTTCCTACTTCAGGGAAGCCAGGAGGAAGGGAGTGAGAAACAAAAAGACCAGGTTTCCCCAAGTCTTCAGAGGAGCCCACCATAAAACCCAGTGCCCCTGCCTGAGGAGTTCCAGGTTTGAAAAAATATTACTTCATAGCAAATCATTTTCTTTGCCAGAGTCAAAATGGTGCTATGAGTCAAAGAGAGGGCAGAGTCTGCTTCACTGAAGGTGGGCAAAACAGCTGCCCCACATCACACAGTTTGGGGAAAGGTGGCTTCTAGAAAGGCCACTTCTGGCAGCTCCTTTGAAAGCCAAGCCCTTTGGGGCCTCAAGACAGGACCTCAAGTTAGAAACTCACTAGGCTAAGGCTTTTCATTCTAAGGTTGATGCCAAGAGGTCAACTTTAGCTCCTTCCCTGCTCCACAACTCACCACAGCTTTCCAGACACAATCCCTCTAATGCCATTTGGGAGAAACCAACCTAAGATCTGAGAAACCACCCAGCCTTCAAACTCAGTACCCAGAACACAGCACAACCTAATGACTCGGGGGCCCCAGGAGAATGGTTTCAGCTTCTAAGGGGTGCTCTTGAGCTGTGTACACTCTCTACCCAGCGTCATACACATCATTCAAAGACAGTTTCAGACACTCATTGGATACCACACACAGGTATCCTCATTCACACATATAGTGTGCAAATACCCTTATATACACATGGCAATCATTCCTTTTCCTTTAATCTCATAGGAAAAACAAAGCAAAAAAAAAAAAAAAAACCTGTGGCAGAGAGAGGCCACTGAGGGCCCTGTGGTCCTCTGTACATAAAGCTAATAATACATCCAGGCTGGAGGAGTTTCTAAAATTAACAGAGCAGGCACGAGCAGCTGTGAATGCTGACTCGGGCAGGCCTGCCACTCCAGCGGGTTTCTACACTCTCCCAACTCTAGTTCTCTCAATTACAGACCAAATTTAAGACAGTAATTAACAGGAGAATGTTTGCATTTAGTGGTCTTCATAAAACCAAATTACATGAGGCAAAAACACCCATTTCCTCGCATTCTGACTAATTGTTTCAATCGTGAGTTTCCAGATGCTAAGGGATATTTCTGGTGTCTAATCTGGGGTGGGGTCGGAATACTGGAGCACTCTTCCCCAGAAACCACTATGCTGGAGCACTGCAGAGCTACTCAAAAGGCTGTATAATGTGGTGGGAAGAAAGACGCATAGGCTCTTGGAGCCAGCCAACCTTGGTTTGATTTCTGGTTCCACCATTTACTAGCAAGTCATTTAATCTCTCCATGCCTCAGTTCCCTCATCTGATCAATGAGGATAATAACAGTACCTAGCTAGCAGAATCATAAGAATTAAGTGAATTGATACTTGCAAAATACTCTGACCCTTGCCTAGCTATGTTATTAAATGAGTAAATAAGTAATTCAAAAGTCAACAAATTCATAGAAAAGAAGAGGAAGATTTAATCTTCCAAGGAAGAACCAAAGCAAAGCATCTGCTGGAGGTGGGGGTGGAAGGGAACTCATAATGGTCCCACTAGAGCCAGCAGAGGAAGTCAAGGATAACAATATTCCCTGAAGAAGCAGATGACAGAACCCATTCACCTCGGCAGACAGATACCCTGACCCCAGGAACTAATGGTCCAGTCAGAGGACAAGGCATAGAAGACAAGTTGGGAAATGATGTAAGAAATCATCCCAGGCATCTAAAAAGGTGGGTTCCTGGTGACTCATAAGGGTGAGACAAGAAAGTGCTCCAGGAGTAGGTGAGAGAAGTTGGGCTCTGGGAGCTGCCCTTGGCCTCGTAGACTACCCTTCCTTACTCTTCGCCAGATGGTTACACGCATTTCTGAGAGCAGAGCCCAGCCCAGCCAGAGCAAGAAAATGACGTTCAGCACCACGGACAGCTCCCCTGGCACGCCTGCCAACCCCACTACGCTGGTCTAGCCAGGGGAAGTTGGCCACAGCCTCCCCACTGGCACCCTCTGCATCCTCAGCTCCCTGGCCGCTCTTCTCCTCCAATCCTAGTGACCAGAGCATCTCAAGTGATGCCTTAATGTCCCTGAGGATTTTCACTGGGGACGCCTCGGTGACTGGAAAGCCTTTATCCATAAAGACCCCCAAACATTTCACATGTATGGAGTGCTTACTTTGCACTCTCTATGCATTACTTTATTGAACCCTCATACCAGCACTAAGGTGGCTGCTATTGTCTGTATTTTACAGATGACAACACTGAGGTTCAGAGGGAAGTATCTATCTTCCCAAGACACAGCCAGTGAGGAGCAGACCCAAGATTGAGAGAGGTCTGTGGGACTCCAGAGCCTGACCTCTTGGGATTTCAGGCACCTCAGTAGGATTTGGGGAAGTGGACAAGCCTTTCTAGCACCTCTGCATCATTCTGGGGAGGTGACCTACCACAAAAGGTACAGCCCCTGCCCCAAAGACAAGAGAGGAGAAAGGAGGGTTGCAAAGGTTTCAAGGAGACCCTTCTTCATGATGCCAGAGCCTTCTGAGGAACTTTCAGGGTGGGGAAAGTGACACATCTTTCAAGTATTAAAACAATCTGCCATCAGGCACAGTTGCACCCATCCTGTAGAAGGGAAAATTAAGGAGAGAACAGTAACATTTCCAAAGCCTCAAGCTGGATGCCCGTGCATCTCTAGCACTCCACTGCCCCTAGGATAATACATGAATAAATCCCACAGTCCAAGATATGCATCTATGGTGGTGAGTGTTGGGCCCTGGCAGGGAAGCATTGGACAGCCACATCAGGACATGCTGGAGTTGGCATATGTCTGAATTAGAGGCCTTGGTCTCTCCAATTACAGTGTTCTCTAAGGCAAGAGGAAGTCCTGGCCAGCAAGACACCAAATGGGCTCTGAAGGCCCTGCACCAGGTTCAGCCCCAGGACCCCAGGCCCATCCTCTCTCAATTGTGAACCCTACTTCCTACCTGGACCAATAGGTCCATCCAGGGAAGCAGGTGGCCTCTCAGCAGGAGGATGTATTCTATAGGCCAGCTTTAAAGGTGAAGGTCCCATTTGTAAGAAGAAATAGGGGATGGCAAAAAGCCCAATATCCTTTACACTGACACCTGGAACACTTCACGGTTTGATCTCAGAGGAAGGTTATGGACTCAAGGCAGCTGAGCGAAGAAAAGATAGGGACTTCTGACTTTGAAGTCAGAACTTGAGCACCAGACCAAGGGTCCTCTCCCTCCCTGGAGGCTTCCCTGGATGTGAAGGGTGATAAAATGGGGCAGAAGTGGAGGTCTCAGAATAGGGGTCACCTCCTTCAACCTCCTCTTGTCCACATACGCCCATACTTGCCTTCGACCGCATATGCTCACACATATGCAGGCACATACATACACACACACATCTACACATCTGCACACAAGTACATGTATACACATGCACAAAAACACCCACGAATACAATTTTGTTTACACATTCCTGTCTATGCACTCCTGTTAATTTTTGCCCTCATATGCATGTCCATTTTCACACATGCATACTTTCTTGCACACCCATTTTGACACAAATGCTGTCCACTGAGAATCCTGTCAGCTGGAATAAAGATAATGTCTTTTTTGTGCATTAAAATCTTTTCCATCCTTCAAGATTTATCTGAAGCGAGACCTCTTCTGGGCCTCTCCAAACTCTCACCAATTGAGCCTCCACCCAGCCTGGGTCCTGGCTTTGGATCTCGATTGCTGTGGGCTCAGGGGCTTGTCCCAGACACACCTGTGTCCCTGTAGTGCTGACTGCAGGCCAGGGTCCCCATGCTTCCTCCAAGGTGA